GCATTAGTTTGGAAATTGCTTCGGGGGTTCGTCGGACTCCAGCCACTGTCCGGAACGTCTCCTGTTATCATACATAATCCATTTTTCATCACAGGTGACAAATCCGTTCAAAAACGGGTCAATTCTTTTGCGCAAAAGCAGTGAAGAAGGAACCTCGAGACGTGCCGATTCCTGCCGGTCACTCCGATTGTGGGGCACCCAATTGTCGAGTTTTTTCACCTTCCCAATGCGTTCCAGACATCTGCAACAGTGGATTTGCAAACGCCTAGCTCTTCTGCTATCTCTCGAACTGTTTGGGATAGATCAGCCTCCGAAATCCCCTCAAAATCCTCGTCAGAATTGCTTTAGGTCGATCGCTATGAGGTTCACCTTCAAGGCTGAAATTTCCAGAACGACATTTGTTGAGCCATTGCGGCCACAGTGCTTTCTTAGCACTATTGGGCCTCCACACCTGGTTAATTTGTTGAGCTGTTTCGATTGCGGATTGCCCCAATTTATAGCCGAAGAAAAAAATCGTCCGAAGTGCTCTTTTCACATGCTTGAAAAAATCTTGAAAAAAAAGGGTTTATCAAGCAATGGTGAAACGGCAATTATACCATCAGATAGCGCAAGAAATTCTCTACAGGATGTGCTACTGAGAAGCAAGGCAGAATGAGTTTTTAATCAGCAGTGAATGTACAAAGATTAGGTGCACAAAACGCTGAGAACTTTCCGGACAACCTAATATAACCCTGTTGGTTTCCACTACTGTGCTGCCATCTAATAGGCAGTCTAATCGATCGTCCTCATCCTGAAACTGGATGGCGCCGAGTCGAAGAAGTTGGCGAACTATGTTATTCTTGACTGATGTCATCAAACTTGCTGAAAGTGTTTTAGCTGAGAAGGCCTCAATGAGGCGGAACAGGTAGCAGTCGTAGGGGCATATGTCAGGAGAATATGGTGAGCAGGGTATGGTTCGCCAGCCTTGTTCCGCAATTATCTGGTATGTCTCTATAGCAGTATGGGGTCTCGCGTCGTCACGAACGAGGTGCCTCTAGTTGCCCGGTTTGGACTGCTAGGATGGGTCTTCACCTTGAGAGAGACACACGGTACTGTGTTGATTGAAATCGCAGAGGACCCATCTCTCATCTCCACTAACAGTCCCCAAGAAACTCCTTTCGAGGGCGGAGAAGGGGAGACTGACGAATGGATACCAGGGTGCACTGCGTGCTATTCGTCAAGGTATGAGTCCATTCCCAGTACTTCTCCAGTCCCAGTACTACTCGACAGCCAAAGGCTTACAGGCGGCTGACGGCTGTCAGCTAGATACACCCGAGTCTTGTTGCAAGACTGCGGGTGGTAGTCTCCGGATCCACTTTGAGAGCTTCGAGAATGTGGAGTCTTCCACTTCGTTGGCGCGTCCCGACCAACGTTTATCTTCGAAGATCGTGTCTCCTTTCGCGAAGCGAGCGAACCAGAGGTGGACAGTCTGATGGTAGTGGTGTCCTCCCTAAAGCACTGTTGATGTTGTTAACAGCTACCGTCGCTCCAGCGTCGCGGCATCACTTAAGAAGATGATAACTCGAAACTGCTGCTGTGAAACTGATATCGTAATTGAACCCAGAGAAGACCAGACCTTTATCTACCTTTTGCGGAAAGGCTTCCAGAATATCCTTAAAGGAAGAACCCGCGATTACTCGCCATCTCAGATGGTGGATTAGGGGGTTCCATATAGACGACAAGGGGTTGAGTAACTCGACTGTGAACAAAAAAAGCACAAAAAACATGCCACCTGCCCTAGATAGAACCCATTTCGATCCCAGTTTGTACGTGCCCAATCAACTCTATCTCCAAAACTACGCCCTCATATGCACGGCTGATTCACCGATAAGATTTCTACGATCGTACAAGTGGCGATTATCATGCTTTTTCGTCCTGCAATCTCATTTTTCACTGGAAGTCGGTCATTAGGGGCGGAGTCTGGAGGCGGAGTCACTGGAAAAAAGGAGGAGCCACTGAACCTATATTGCGCTACAGCGCCCCTCCCATAGAATTTTTTGCCGCGAAACCGGTACAAGGTTGTTCGTCGCCGCGGGACAGAACTCTAACTCGCTACGCCATACTTTTAACTTCGATACCTCGATCCGCGGACGCGTGCCGTCATGCTCAAGCATCAAGAATCAAAAGCTGTAAGCTATTCAAAAAAAACGCTGACGGGACATTCTTAACATCCTAATACTTTGTCGCTGGGTTGTATTTAGCTAATAAAAATGTATCCATGAAAGAATACTTCAGAAAAAGTGCGTCAGTTTTTCGCCGGTGGAGCTGCTATCACTGACGACGATAGTGCCATTCCAACCAGGTTTCGCTTTGAAGTGTTATTAGCTCTTAGGTTACCCGATCGTTAATCAGATTTCGTTCCAGATATCTGAACGATTTTGATTTCTTGCCTGATGGCCGACTCGTCATTTCCGAATCCAGTACCAAGTTTGACGATCGCGATTTCCTTTACGACCTATTGGAGCATAGACCAAATGGAAGGTAAACTAACTTCAAGCAATACGTGCTACTGTACCTTGGTCTAAGTATTACCTAATGTGTAACTATTAGCATGTTTCACATAACTGCCCTTTGTACTTATATTCCACAGCACACCTGCGTTGGAACGCGCAAAGGCGGTTTATACGCAATCTTTTGAAAGAGGATTTTGAAATTTCCGCATAGAATCCTTATGGTTCGGAGCAACCTGCTTTTAGATCGACACTTTGAATTTCTAGGGAGCCATAAATGCCCAACACTCTCGCCTCATATCGTACCAAGACGTGAAAGGCAGTTGGCACGATAAATCCCTAAGACGAGTAGGATTAATACGTTTGGCAAGACGGAGTTCTGCGCTCCTGAGCAGGCGATGCGTATCGCCCTATTTAAGGAAGGTACCCTCATAAGGCCCTATCAAGCTACAGCATACCGACCCGGACGCCAACCGTGCCCCGGAATGCCGAAACTGCGCCCGCCCGCCCCACAAAAGTTCGACCGTACTTAATGCTCGTATTGCTTCGATTGATGAGTAAAATATGAAGCGAAGGGATTTATATGAGGCTGCGCTGCTGCATGGACATGCATGTAGCTATAACTACCGTTATGGATTGACAAGATGCCTACGGGCAACTCGTCCAAAATTGAAATTGCTTTCTGAGTCATGAAGAACGACGGCTTTTCTTTCGCAGGTTGTTGACCGTTTCACTTCCTTTTCTTCGCCCCATTTTGATACAATATAGCACCCTTCTAGCATTTAAATCCAATACCAAATTATCGTTTCATAAGCCTTCAAACGAGAAAAAGGCCGCCAAACGTTATTGCGAAGTTTAGCCAGCGCTCTTTTAGAAGAGCCTGTAATTGTGCGCATTGTCGCAAGTAGTTCTACCTTTCCTAAGTGAGAGTAAACCGTCGACTAGGAAGAACGTTACAGCTCCTTCAACCGTTATCAACGTTGGAAGTGGGCCGCCATGTCGGAACCCTGCCAATGACGAATAGTCCTGGAGGTCTTGGGTGGCTCCACGCGGCGGCCAACAACCACGGGCGCGCTACTGGTAAGGCTAACGTAGTGGGGTGACACAGCTCAGCGAGAACACCGAGACGTATTGGAGCGCAGACAGAGCGGCCTTGTTCAACAGTGATGTCTCGCGAGAGCTGGAGACGTGAAGACAGCGGGATTCGGTCGTTTTCATATAAGTCATGATCCCTTCAAGTGACAGGACGTGTGCCGCAGCCCGTATTGGAGCGCAGCCTGGGCCGCTTGATCTATCAGTGCTTCCATCTTGAGCCCGCAACAGTTGGTGGGAAATCTGCCTTGGCTGCGCTCCAAACCATGCCCCTATCCTACGCCCTATTAGTTGGGATTATGACCTGATTGCTCCAGTACACTCTCACTTCCCCATGCTACGCCGTGTCGAATACTCTGCTAAAATGAACCTTGATGGTTGCTAACTCTAAAGTAGTAAGTCTTGGGTGGCCATCAGAAAATCGCTTTCGACAATCGCGAGAAGGGCTATCGCATTCCTTCTTCTGTATTTATTTCTACACTTGACTTTATTTTAATTATTTTATAATGCATCCATGATCGACTTTCAATGAATCTTGGCATCGTGTGAGGTCCTTCTGATTAGATGTTTAAAACCACAGCCAAGATATTAACAACTTTATTTGGCTACGTTTCGGCCTTGTCGCCTTCGTCGGAGCCTTAGGAGAGCACGGCTTAGCTTTGACCACCCGCTAAACTGTCAGTTTAAACTGCCTAAAGCTAGGCCGTGCCGTCTCCTAAGGCTCCGACCAGGCGGAAACAAGGCCGAAACCTTAAGGCTGCGTTTATACTTTGCGGCAGCGTAGCGCTTCCAGCGTACGCCAGCGGCAGTGCCGGGGAGAGGATGGATATCGATCTAGCGTTCCCAGCGTCACCAGCGTAACGCTAGCGTACGCCAGCGTTTCACCAGCGTTTTGCTGGCGTTTGCAGCGGCAGGGGAGTAGAGACTGTGGCCGTAAGAGACGCGCAATCGATGTGTATTGTGTGTATTGTAGAGACTATGTGGCCGTAAGAGACGCGCAATCGATGTGTTTTGTACCCTCCAGCTCTCCCATAGTCTCTACTCCCCTGCCGCTGCAACGCTAGCAAAACGCTGGTGAAACGCTGGAGAAACGCTGGCGTACGCTAGCGTTACGCTGGTGACGCTGGGAACGCTAGATCGATATCTATCCTTTCCCCGACACTGCCGCTGGCGTACGCTGGAAGCGCTACGCTACGCTGCCGCAAAGTATAAACGCAGCCTAAGACAAATAAAAGTTGTTGATATTTTATAATATTTAGTTATGGTCACGCTGAACTTTTTACGTGTCAGTTCCTTACTTTAGCACATTACAGACTATTGGCTTATAACCCTGAAACAGAAGATCTCACGGTGCTTCTAGACCAGCTGTACTTTCCTAATGGTGTAGAAGTGGTTCGCGGCAAGGTGATGATAGCAGAGATGGGAAAAGCGAGAATTTTGAAGTCAGTCTATCTCCTCTATGCTCACTGTATGCATATGCAAACTTCTGAACTCAGGTTATCCCCTTCTTCTGGAGAGGCAACCGTCTTCAGTGACAATCTTCCCGGATATCCTGACAACATCAGACAAGCAACAGATGGGAATGTCTGGGTTCCAATTGCCGCTACCAGATCAGAAGGTGACAACTGGTTAGCAGCTAGACCATCACTACGCTCGCTTATGACAAAGGTGCATAAACTAGCCACTGGTTTCTTATCACCTGACAACGATTCCTGCTTTGCAGCTACTTTCGCCCCAAGCAGTTCATGTGGTCGCAGAATGGATGACGAAAAAATATGGTCTGGTTCTGAAGGTAAATAGATTAAAAATTGCGGGTCCTTCTGTTTTTCCACGATAGTAATCGTTTTCAGTTGGATTCCGAGACGGGCAAAGTGGTGGAGTCCCTGCATGATCCTACGGGACGCGTTTCTGATGTTTCGACGGCGATCGAGGACGGTCGTGGGAATTTACTCCTGGGGAGCGACGCCAACTACTATCTAGCCAGGCTGAAACTCTGACTTACCTCCACTTTCCTTTCGAATTTCAAAGCACTATAGGCGATGTACAGTCGACATCGACAGTTCGACGGGGCAGGGTGGTGCCGAGAGGCGTGAATTAGCCCACCCACTGGTTGCTTTCTACCTAAACGCGACCACTGTTAGGAGAAACTGCAGCGTTTAAGCCGCGTGTGGGCTCGTTCTGCATCTCTCGACACCGCCCTGTAGAATGTGACGATATAAACTTTACCTTCTAGTGCAGTCAGTACAACCTCAATTTCAGAGACCTCAGTTTGTAATTACATGCGTGTTTTTTTTTTCGTTGTTTTACGTTCTAGCAGCTCGGTCGAGCTTCGTGATTGTAAATAAAGAAATAATTTTAAGCGGAAAACAAAATAAAAAAATTTCTAACGCTGTTTGTTTGCTTGAATATGATCTTGTATTATGGGTATGTCGTAGTCACTAGAAGATATAAAATCAAAGACACACCCTGTAGATGCTGGTCGTGAGCACTGGTTCCAGATATGACTTCACATTCCAAATAGACTTCCCAGATGCAAGTTGACTTCTCAACGAAAAGGAAAGCAGATAAAAGCGTCGGAACGCACAGTGAATAAGACCCCTTGCAGCCAATCTTCAGCATTGGACGAGTCCACGGATAAGCGAGAGGCACTGTGGGTGGGGACCAGTGACAAGGGATGAAAGAATGGAAAGACGAGTTAGACATCAGACACAGTCCTACCACAGATAGTGGCGCAACTCTATCCATTTCTGAAAACAGCAGCCATCTGGTGGGTAGGGTAACCATGGCGAGCAAAGACCTCCTCGTCGTTGTTACTCGCTTTCGAGAGGCAAAAAGAGGCACATCCTCTGCGACTGCTGGATGGATTATCTTGCACAAAACGGGGGAGCTTCTATAGTACCTATTACGCACTCGTTGATTGTGCTAATGATGACTTGTTATTTTTTGACCTATTCCATTTTAGATGCATACATACAAAGGACGTAATATACCTACACTTAACAAGACTTCTCAGAATGGTGCGCGAAACCTTTTTTAGGCCCAAATGCTAATATTTTCGAAATCATCGTTCAAAATGAGCGCCACCCGCCCTCTTCCTCAATAGACTAGCCCCAATCAAGTATTCTCCACTATCCTCTCCTTTCTCGTACACGCCATGAAGATTACTGTGAGCATTGTCATACTAAAGTGTTTAGAAGCCTCCGATTTGTGTACGGATGAATCTCCTGAAGGCTTCCGTGTTTGCTCAGGACGGTAGCAGTTAGCCGTCAACGAGAATCGGAGGACAACCATAAACTCGAGGTGTAGTATCAACTTTTAAAAACTTCCATTTTGGAGATGCTGCGAAACACGGTCGCGCAAGGCTACCCAAGTCCACATCATTTTCACACCTTTGAGTACACAAGACTAACCGAGGAAGGTCAACAGAATAGTCCAGTGATTTTCTATGGGATGCACACCGCTGTTTGCGACTCGAGACGCTAGCCTCAAATCTGCTCAACATTTTTCTGAAGGGAATCAGTAGGGGTTTTCCCATTGCACCATTGAAAGACAAACAGTTTGCTCACCTTCTGTGGATCCCGGTCCTTGCCACGTGCAAGGTGAACCCTCCCCAGCTGCAGTAGAGTGTCACTTTCCCCGCCAAAATAAGCGGATTAGGGAGGGAGAGTAGCGATGCCCGGATGCCATTTCCGGACTCCGCCACTGCTGCCGCTAGGCCTAAACATGGCGGAATGTGCTCCCTGCTGCACCCTCGTCACTTCTGCTATTTTTCTGCACTGGCTGTCGTGTTTTGCTGTGGGTTTTCGGTTAAGAAACAAGGGACATTCAGAAAGCTGGAATAGTGAAGAGGACGAAAAGCACAGGCGTGTGTGCACTTTCGATTCTGCCTTGATGTATGCTTCAGAGAGAGTCTGTACAGACAGGATGAACATGAGTTGAGCACCATCATGCGACGCGGTGTGGAAAGGATGACGCCTGGAGAAGCATACACAAGTGAAAAGAGGTATTCAGAAGCTCCGAACTCCGTCACGCGAGGCGCGGCTAGCACTGCGGTAATTTCCGAGATCGTAAATCAGGTAGGGTGGATTTGCCTTCGGTGGCGTTGCACCAGAGCCTGTAACCCTACGGAATCACCGACACGTTGTAGACAGATAACCAGATCCTTCTATTGGAATTATTCATGGCGGCGGAAATTGAAAGTCTTTGTGTTGTTGAGCCAGGGAATCCAGCGATTGCTCCGGTCAAACACCAAAGACAAGTATGGTGGCGTTACTGGGGCCTAGGACTTCGAAGGGTCAGCGGAACAGTAGGTGATGCAGGCCATTTTCTGCTTCAGATTGTTACTGCAGGGCCAGTGAAAACGCTTCTTATCAGCGAGTCCATTACGAAGTGTGCCTCTCGTTTTTCCTAACTTAAAGGCAGTTGGCACGATAAATCGCTACACAGGTGTAGGCTTTGTACAACTGGCTTAAAAGAATTCTGTGACTCGGACAAGTGCTCAGCGTGAAGCTTTTCCAAGGAGGGCGGGCGCCTTGACACGCGCCTATTGAGAGCAACAACTTTACGTCCCAAACGCCTTCCTTGCCCGCCCGCCCACAAACGGACGACCGTTTCTGACGCTCGTATTCATTCATTTGCTGAGCAAATTATGAAGCAAAGGGATTGGTATGAAGCGGCCGTGATGCTGCATGCATACATGGGTACACATATGCAGCCGTATCTTCGGTAGCGGTGATTGGCAAGATGCGTACGGGAAACTCGTCCGAAATCGATTTTCAAGTCACTGAGAACGGAGGCTTTTTCTTCGCAGATTTTGACCGTTTCACTTCGTTCTTTCGCCATTTCCCCACTATACAGCGCCCTACTAGCATTTTAGGCTAAGTAGGAAACCATCGTGCCAACTGCCTTTTAAAGACAATTCCCGTCGGCGCATTGAGCAACACATCGTAGGTCGCTTCCTTGTTAGAGTTGCCCTCAGGTCGCGCTTAGACGCTTCGAGCTCTACAGTAAGTGACAAAAGCGCTGTGTCCCTCACGAGTGGCATATACGCCTCATTTGAGGGCTACTTTCTTTTACAAGCTCAGTTTTACACACGTTTTGAATGTTTTTTTTTTGTTGTTATGGTATTAGTCTTGAATGACGCGTAGAATGATTATTGAGCTAGAGGTGGCACGAAACCGCTTCGCTGGCATAAAACGAGCAGGTCCGGAGAACTGGCCAGAGAGCCTACCAGGTCTCTACTTGGGGTGTTCTGCAGGTTTATTTGTTGCTCTTTGCTTTACTGGATAGTTATTTAGCGACTGTAGGTCTGTAATTGAGCGCAGCTATCCACAATATACAATCGCGGAGTGTCTTTAGCTTTCCTATTTCATCTTTGTGAAACTATTTTCAAAAATAGCCCCCTCTTCCCGTTGTAAGTTAAGGCTTTATGAGCTGTGGCAGGACGGACTGGTTTACTCATGTCTTTTCCATAAGATGCTTACATGAACTTGTCTACTGTGTAATCGAGAGAGGCCTGCCATCTCCCCTTAATATTTAAACAGTTCTCATAGCTCGTTATTTTTACAGTATTACTACACTCATATGTTTGCACTGGTACGATTTCGACAACATGTAGATGTGTAATCAGGCCGCGGTGCTTACGCTATTGGAGACTGGAAGAATCCGCGCAAAGTATGCGTATCGATCTGGAGAATCAAAAAACTTGCACAAAACACTAGGAAAAAATCGAATGCCCAGTTGATTTAGCCTCGCTCAAGTGGAGAATCGACATTATGGTTCGTTTCCAATCACTTTCGTGAATTCTGCGATTCCCAAACGGCGCAAATTATGAACACAGCCTTACCAGTTCCAAGTTGTTTCGTACCAAGACAGTCATCTAACCATGGGTCTACGGACAACTAAGACTCAATCCCTTCAATGACTCATTTTTTCCAATTTTTTTCTCAGCGCTCTCAAGTCTGCATGGCGCTCTGTGACCACCCTGACCTTTCACATTACAACTTCTCACGTGCAGTAAGTGGTACATCGTCTTTGGAGTCCTCTCCTCTGAAAAAGCTCATCTCCTAGCCCACAGCACATTTTTTGTACCTCTCGATGCCTGGGGAGCCACAGTTTTTTATTTTTTGAGCTCTAGCTTCTCGACCCCCATCGAGATTTTCAGTTGTCACGTACCTAACTATGTGGTGCTTGACATTCCATTTCCAGAACGGGTGAAATTTTAGGAATCGTACCGACCCCCAAAATTTCCCCCTTTCCGATGTTGTAGACGACAGGTCTGGTACCTGTTTCCCCTCGACGAGTTTCAATCCAAGGAGACGCGCCACACCGTTCCTGTCTTTTTGCGAAAATAGTGACAAACAGAAGTTGACAGATGGAGAACTCTTCCGCACGCTCCGCAATATTAGCCATGTCTAATCTTCTTTGGAACATCGGCATCGGAGCTTGAATTTAAAATCTTCTCAAGTGTCTAACAGGTTTTCGTGCAGAAACCCTTTCCCCGGTTTTTGGCGAAACCGCCCTTGGCGAAGTCTGGAAGCGTACTGTCACACACTTTTACATAACTTGTCCTACTTGAAAAAAAAACTGTACGCTCACCTGTGTAGATCTGGTCCTTGGCGTATTTGGGGGAGGGGGGAATGGGTCCACAGCTGCAGCGGCGTGCCGATTCTTCATTCAAAAAAGGCACGGGGCAGGGCTAGAGAGTGGTGATACTCGAGTTCCGTTCCCCATACTACGCTTGCATTGGCGCACCGCTAGTCATGCGCCAGTCACAGCCAAACGCGCTCTTAGTCTACGCCCTCTACTTCTGCTCGTACTCCACCGATGACTGCGTGCTTCGCTATCATAGGCAGCGTTCAGACTTCGCGACGGCGGCGCTTCGCGTTCGGG